AGAAATCATTGAGGGACAATTTTCTCCTTCAATGCCAAGAGAGACCAGGTCTAGAAATCTTGCACAGGAGTGACAGCAATAAAATCTTCCTATGCTAGGACTTGCTGGCAGAATTGCTTGGTGGGTGTTACGGCTATTGGAATGGACTCTGCAGCAGTTGCATCCCCTTAAGAATGATGGGAATAACTGATCTTTCCATTCACTAGTGGGTCTGAAGAATAAGTATCTTTACAATTTTATATATATATATTTTTTTTTTTTTTCAAAATATTCAAAGGTCAAAAAAGTAAAAAAAACCCCCCCCAAAAACAACAAAAAAGTAATTGAAATCATGTGAGCTCCAATGAAATGCTTCACTTAGATTTCCAAGCACTGTTTAACTGTCTCTAAAATTAAGTTAAAGGAAATTGAAAACAAAAAGTTGTTTTGAATTAAAGACAACTCTAGCCTTTTGGCTTTCCTTGACACAAAAAAGTTGATGACACCAAAAAATAAATAAATTGCAAAACAGTTTGGTGTCTGCAAATTGGCCCTTTCCCCCACTCTCTAAAAATGTTTTGGCTGAAATATGTCACCCACTTCTACCCCCACTGTGCTGGGGGACTCTGTGCAAGGCTTTTTTCCTTAATAAATCCTCTGGCTACGTCCCTACCTTCCTCTGACCAGACCCATTAGTCCAGCCTCTCTGCTACTATACAAGGAACTTCTGTGGAGCACAGCTCGTAGGTACTTTGTGGATCTGGACAAGTTCCTGTCCCCATCTCCCGCTCCCTCCCCACCTAATTTTGCTGGGTTCCCTCAGACAGTTGACTGCAGAAATACCTGATTTAGCTTTAAAATAGCAAGCTGGGGTAGTGACAGCTGACTAGCAATAGCAGCACACGGTAGAGTGCTGGCTATTCTATCTTTCTGAGAAGCTTTTCAGTGGCTTCAATAAGGACAAGATTGAGCATAATGTCCTACCCCAGCAAAACACTTAGAGACCCTTAACTTCAAAACACGTCTGCAGTGTCACATACCGTACATTCAGCTGTTCTCCGTGCTGCAAGGGAACAGTGTGTGTGTGTGTGTGTGGGGGGGGGGGGGGGGGCCCCC